TGGAGCATTAGCCCACTATATAAGTATGGATGATTTGCACAATCAATCCATATATTTAATTAGTCTTCTTTTGATCACTTAATTAATCCTAGATTAATTCTTGATCAATACTAATTAAATAATCTTATTATTCTTATTATTAATATATTAGAACTTATAATATATTAATAACCATAAGTGTCTTATTTCTCTCATTTTAGTCTATCCAAGTGCATGATGCCATGCAACCCAAATGGACCATGCCGGGTCGGGTCAAGTCTTACCAATTATAGTTATGGACTTAGACATTAATCCAACAGTCTCCCACTTGGATAAGTCTAAAACTATTATTGCGTATGACTTCAGGAACCAACTAGCAATCGTAGCTCTCAAAAGCTTCTGTCGAACTCTGACCTTGTCGATAAACGCTGACCTTTTTCAATGACTTGTCCATTAGATAAGGGATCATATATTCCTCCATTATAGATATCATATGGACTGAGACATGGATTATAATCATTCTCTCTGTCCATTTGTAGTTTCCCGATTTCCGATTTATGACGACTAACTAATTGAACAAATCAAATCAGTCCTGGCCCGGCCGAGCACTTCCATTTGTCATCATCAAATCATCGAGGGGCCCACAGATATCGCTTTTATCCCGAAGGTAAAAGGAATGGATAAACTTCGACTCATATGGCTTGTTCTACTACTTGTTGAATCATACACAAAGGCACGTTTTATAGCACCGAGTTACCAAATGCGGTTTCGTGCAATAATGTAAACCAACTCATAGTAACAACTCATATTCTAGGTTTGAAGAATATAAGATATTATCGTCTCATGATCACTCGTGATAAAATCCATGAAGTGATTCTAATGAGCGCGGATTGAATCTAATACTCAGAACTTATGAGCACTCATGAGTGTTGTAGCCATTTGTCCAACACCTTAGACCTCTACAAGCCAACCCATGACAGTCTTAATTCATATCTACTTCCAACATATGACCGACTGTGGATGGTTTGAATAACTTAGTCATTCTGGAAGAATAACCTAGTTTATTCTGGAAGTCAAAACATGCAAAATGAAACACAAGAATAATTGAATCCAATATGGTATCAAAACCTATGATCATAAATAAAACACCTTTTTATTTATCACCATATGATTACACATTATTCATTGTATACTGTTTCAGCTATCAACTTTATTCTTGAATTTAAAACAATAGTTGTCCCATGCTCCAAGCATGTACACTATGTTTTTTCTAAACACTAGTCATGTCATACACCAAGTATGCATACTATGTTTGTCTATGATCTTTACTTTGTGAACTAGATCAATTGAATATAACTTCAATTATTCTCTTTTCACACTCCTAAATCCTTACTGTAAATACAAGAATTCCAAATTCATGTCATTTACTGAAATCTGTTAGATTCTAAACTTATATGCATTGATCCTCTTGTAATGATTATGCACAAAGTCAGAAAGACTTGCCAACAATCATTACAGAGCATTCCAAAGGAGATCAACTCCTTGGAAACATCCTTCTTGCATTAAGTTTCCTAATCTTAAACAGATTGAAAATTCTAACTTTGAAATATTTCCAGATTCCATTTTGACTATCACTTTGAACAAGAGTTGCCTCCTTACAGATTATGTCAATATGGTCCTTCCATAATTATCACTATACTTCCAATTGTCCTTGAGCATTCCAATCTTTGGTAAACCTTAGATTGTCCTCGACAATTGTTTAATCCTATTAGTCATATCCAGTTCTAAACCTTTTCCCTTCTTAATGCCCCAGGCATTTGGAAACTTTTAGAAATGATGAATATAGCACATGTAATCGATCCTATATCCGAAGCATATGGGACACGATTCATGATGTCTCACATAAAGACTAAACCAATCTTTTGCTATAACATTTCCATTTCTATTTGCCAAGTTCTCATAATTCAGATTATGAAAAAGGATGCCATAATCATAATCGAATTTTAGAACGCAAATAATGGACCCATATACAGAATTTCCTTATGTTGAGCCATTCCAACATGAAATTCATATATATATATATCCTTGACTAAATGATTAAACCTCACGATCTAAGCTTATAGATTTGAGATGAAGTATAATTTCCTCTCCCTTAATTATAGCAAAACAACTCTTTCCCAATTGAAACCTTTTGTTTTCTATAATTAACATTGCTAGCTTGCAATACTTATCATAATTATCATGCTCCCACTAACATGATGATCATTAGCATAACACTTATGCTCCCACTAGCTTTGACATGTACTCAGAAATAAGCTGGACTTCTAGAAATCAATACTTTATTGACTTTCTTACCAAAGTTCAGATTTCTGATACTTGATTGTTTTGATAGAACTTTATCAAAATCATACACCTTCCCTTAGATAGCACACTTGTGTGTCTAAACAATTATGAAGAGGGATGCTGTAATCATAATGGTTAGACCTTTTTGCCACTTCTCACAAGTCCATGTTAGTGTGCCGGTAAACCACACACGCTCCACTAACGACTTTGAGAATGCAAATATCACAATTGCTATCTAACTAAAATCTGCTTAGTGAAAGTGTTTCCTCACCATCATTTTCATGAATCGGAGAGAAACCTTATGACACTTAGATTTAATGGTGTATGTGTTCTTATCCATGTGAATTGTCAAAACCATAGTAACAAGACAAGGATAATGACAAATCCGAACTCATATGGACTGAACTCAATCTTAACTTCTTGCCACCTGGCAGCTCAAGGGTCTGCCATTGCTTCCAAGTTGTTGTGCAACCCAATTGAGAACTCTAAGAACTCAACTTTAACTGGAATGGGCACAAACTATGTCAACACGATAGGTTATAAACCTCAAGTCGTGTGCGAGTGAAGAACTTTAGGTTTTATTCTTGATTAGTTCTTGAGACTTTCAAGACCTTTAAGACTCCCACTGTCCTCTTGACCTATAAGACTCCCTTATCAGATATCCAAGAGATAGTGTGGATTCTAATCAAGACAAACACTTCACACAATTGGCCTAAGTTGGTCTTTGTTTTATCCAAAACATCACAACTTACCAATTTCAAATGTACAAGAGTAGGAAACTTTTACTCTTACATTTGACAAGTGTTTTAAACCTTCTTTAAGACATGTCACTCAAATGACAATCTTGGAGTATGACTCTAAGACTTGTATTAGAACGAAGTATGACTCATCTTCTTGATTTAACCATTTCAACAATTCAAGATCCCTCCTTCTTAGTTATAAGAATGCACTAAGATTTCCTTAGAGAACTAATTGTGCTATGGTTTCTTAATCATTAAGATGATCACAAAACTAATACTAAAGTACTCTCCCATCTTTTCAGATTTGAGAAACTTTTATCCTTTTTGCCTAATTTGATTCTTCTTATCCGCTCTGCCATGCATTGGAACCTTTTCCAATGTCTTTAAGCTTGTAAGTATAATCATATTTACTGAGCTTTAGTAAACTATGACGAATAGCCTTATATCTTTTGTGCTGGACTTAATCAGTGCACATGACTATGTACTCGATCCCTTAGTCCATTACTTGACTCACACATCCATGTGAACAAGTAATTAGTCTTAATTTTTCCAATACTTGAAAGTTCTCATTCATCATGCTATACAACTTGCATGATTCCAAGTCCCAGTCCAATTGAGACTTTTGGATGATAAGACCCTTTCCTTATTTGGTAAATTTAGACATTACCACAAATGAAAGAATCAAATTCATATTTCCACTCTTGCTATTAATAGAATCATATAAGCAACATTTTTTCCTCAAATGCCATTGTAAGGATATTTTAAAATAAATAAAATCAAAATTTTCTTTTATTTTAAAACTTTGCGGAAAAACTTATCCTTACAATCCATATGAAAGCTTGTTTTTATCTATTCCTAAGCAAGATCTCATAACTCCTAAGAAGTAGCTCAAGAATCCGACTTTTCAAACTACACGATAGAAATCCATCTATGCGATCAGATTCAGCATATTCTTTCTTTAAGTTCCTTCACTTTTCTTTGATTCTTAAATCATCAACATGTGACCCAGTCACATCATGTAATAAGAATCTCAGAATAGAAACTTAGCAGAGTTAGATAGTGGACTTTACCTGAAGTAGAGTCAAACTTATTGACTTTAACATCCTTAGGTAAGTTTGGCAGCTTCGCAACTAATGACCCTTTCTTTGGCAATATAAACATATGGACTCTTTGATAATGGTACACGGGACTATCACAGACTTAGCTTTTCTCTTTACCATTTGTTCAACCGAGTTGACTATGGCCGATCCCTTTCCATTGGGAAGAGAATGCTTTTCTGGATTTCCTGTGTCACTATTATCATTGTCCATCAAGTTTTTGAGGAAGTTGATCTTAACAAATAGATATGATCATTAAGGGTCTTGTCATAGTCTGTTTCATAGGTGTCCAAAGGAACTCACTATGTGACTTAGAAAGTGATTGAACCACCAACTTTCTCAAGACTTTGACACCAACTCTCCCGGCTTGTCAATATGTGACTACATCTCCAAGATGTGATCACACCTAGACCTTGCCTTGCCAATAGGGCTTGAGTGATCTTAAACTTTTAAGAACTTGTGGGTTGGGAGAATAATTGGAGGAGGTGAAAGAAGTATGATTTCCAAGGGACATCATCTTCATTAGGAAAGCTTGTTTCAAGAGATTTGGGAAGATCATAAATGTCTAAACAGACATCTTTTGGGAGATATTCAAGATAGTTGATTTAAAGTCCTTAATATGACACCCAATATGAAATATTAAGGCTAGGACCCAACAAACTATTTTATAACTTAGAAGAGGATGCCGTAATCCAAGCTATAAAAATTTGAAGGTAGGTGAATGACGATTCACCAATTTCCACCAAGATAAACGAAATGTATTATTAGGTTTTAATTGGTTTTGAAACTCCTAGATCTTTTGAGATTCATTGAACTGTTCAATGGCATGTTTCAATCTCGAGTGTGCCCTTCAGGTTTTGTGACTGGGATGCCGAGGATCACAAAACAAGGTGTGAAGTAACCATGCAAATTACTTGGTACCCTTAAGTGTTTACCCCTCAATCGATGTGCCGGTTAACCACACACGCTCCATCGATACTATGATAAACATTAAGTCACCCTTTACCTACCTTGTTAAGTCCAAGTTAGTGTGCCGGTTAACCACACACGCTCCACTAACGACTTAGACAAAGTGTAAAGTGTAATTTCATGGATTAGCACCTTATTCACATTTTCCTAAGTAACTAAGATTGGGAATTATTAAGAGTTTAGTTACTTAGTATTTATCATTAATACTTTTAATGAAGGGAGAATTATAGTCTTGTCAAACCCGTTCGGCTAACGACCCTCCACCAGTCAAGCAAGCGGTGGGTGAGAGTGGACACCCATTAAGTTGCCATTTTATAGGCAACAACCTTATACCCACCTTATAGACCGGCTTCGTGAATGAGGCGTACTAGCGGTAAGACCGACTTTACTCTTATACATATATATATTATTAACTTATAATATTATAAAGTATAAGGGTTGAATTTTAACTTTTAAAATTCTAAGGGCTAACTTGGAATTAAAGTATTCATGAGAAAACTTTACAAATTCCAAAACTTGAGGGCAAGTTTTGAAACTATTCAAAACTAATTAATTCCATAACTTATGTGTTTAAAGTAGTTTTAATCCAAAAACTCTTCAAGTTCCATAACTTATGGAAGACTTTAAACTAATAAAAGAATTAATTTTTCTTTATTTTTATAACTTATGGAATTAATTAAGGTTACATTTTTATTATTATTATTATTATTATTTAATGAAGAGACTCTTGGTCCTCCATAACTTGAGGACAAATTATGGAGTCATAACTCCAATTAATTAGAACTAGACTCTTCATTTTTGTAACCTTTGCCAACTTTTATGAGTTTTATGAAACTTAATGTGACTTTTCATATAACTTGAGGACAAGTTACAAAAACACATTTTAATCAACTCTTAGATTAATTTGGATTGAAAACAACTATTTCATTCAACTTTTCTATTAATCTAAGCAACTCATAAGAACAAGATAATTCAAATCAAACTTTTCATGTAATTAGTCTAACCTTTAAACTAATACAAAACATGAATCTATTGACAATTATCTTTGAAAATGGATTAGCATGAACATTACCACTTCAAAAAACAAGTTTATAAGTTCAAAAACAACTTAGGGTAATGTTCCTAGTCCATTTCTAGCCAAAAACCTCGAAGATATGCTGTCTGGGGTCCAACTCGTCGAGTGCATGAACAAAACTCGGCGAGTTGGATGCATTTTCCTTGGACTCGTCGAGTCCCTTCATGGACTCGGCGAGTCTGCTGGGCTGACAGCATCAAAACTCGATTTTTCAGCTCATTTGCAAGTATAACAAGAAAACAAGCCTAGGCTCTGATACCACTGTTGGGTTATGAGCATTCTAACACTCCTAAGTGTACATGCAACCCTAAATACCTTGGATCTATGTTTTCTCTATTATACATGCAAATATGAACATCCAAGGTATTAATCCTAATCTAGCATACAAAACTATCAATATAACAAGATAGAATACATACCTCTTTGATGTAGAATGTCTTCATGAAGCTTGAGTGCCTAGTGCCCCAAGTGTGACACCTCAAATGGTTCACACAACACCAAATACACTTGGAATAACTTGAGAGAATTCTACACTTCATGAAATCGGCTAGCCCTCTCTAGAATAATCTAGTGGCCGATTTTGTCAAGAATAATATCTTTATATAGTGTTACAATTAGGGCAAAACCCTAATTGTCATGACTTTCCATTTCCTTGGATCCATAGGTTCAAATACACCATGGAGCATCCATGGAGCATCATATGGGTTTTGGCCCAACTAGATAATCCATGGAGCATTAACCCACTATATAAGTATGGATGATTTGCACAATCAATCCATATATTTAATTAGTCTTCTTTTGATCACTTAATTAATCCTAGATTAATTCTTGATCAATACTAATTAAATAATCTTATTATTCTTATTATTAATATATTAGAACTTATAATATATTAATAACCATAAGTGTCTTATTTCTCTCATTTTAGTCTATCCAAGTGCATGATGCCATGCAACCCAAATGGACCATGCCGGGTCGGGTCAAGTCTTACCAATTATAGTTATGGACTTAGACATTAATCCAACACTTCTGACACTGAATTCTTTAGTAATTTAATGTTAAATAAAAGGACTCAAAGTTCACTTGGTGAATCTTTCAAATATAAATGTGTTAAATCTAAAAATGTGTTTACCAAGAAAAACTTTGGTACTAGAATTTGCTACAGGTGTGGTGATTCAACTCACAAAATCAGTGAATGCAAGTTTGATAAAACATCATTAAGAGCTGATAACATCAAAGTTAGAAATGAAAAATGGATTCTTAAATCAAATTCTTTAAACTGTCTTCCTAAAGAGTGCTATAATATATTGTCAAATAACTTTGTGAATGACCCATCTTCCAATGGGTCAGTGTGTTCTAACTAGTTTCTCAGCACTGCAGGGTCAGGAGCATCTTTGGTACTTAGATAGTGGTTGCTCAAGACATATGACAACATCCAAGTCTCTCCTGGAAGACTATGTCAAGAAAACTGGTCCTGCAGTAACATACGGAGACAATGGAAAGGGGTTCACTAAAGGATATGGAAATATCAAGTGCAATAACGTGGTGTTTCAAAATGTTTCATATGTAAAGGGTCTCAAACATAATCTTATCTCAATCAGCCAATTGTGTGATGCTGATTATGAAGTTCACTTTACAAAGAAGGAAGGAAAAATTGTTTTACTAATGTTTGCTATTGTCTTATATACTAATGTCTTTTTTTGTACTGATGATGATGCGCTGATGATGTTTAGCATGCTGAGTTCATTGTATGATCTCTTATCTCTCTCTCTCTCTCTCTCTCTCTCTCTCTCTCTTCTACAAATCTTCTAAACTAAAGTTGAATGATTCACTGTATTAAACCATACACTGATAACAACTTGAAACTTTTTGTCGATGGTTAGACAAAACACCAAGTTCTATCACACGCAACTATCCACTCTTACCAATCTTACACTGATTCTGTGATTCGGTGTGACAAAACACATGCTGATGAGAATCTAACAGTGTTTGCCGATGGTTAGACAAAACACCAAGTTCTATCACACGCAACTATCCACTCTTACCAATCTTACATTGATTCTGTGATTCGGTGTGACAAAACACATGCTGATGAGAATCTAACAATCTTTGCCGATGGTTAGACCAAAACACCAGTGTCTATCACACGTAACAATCCTCTCTTTACCTTCTTCTCACTCAGTGTCTAATGATTCAGTAAGAAATACCACTCACTGATAAAGACTCGACACTCTGTGCCGATGGTTAGATAATTAAACTAGTATCTATCACACGCACCAATCACCTTGCTTACCCTAAACAAGCAAGTTGTACCTTGAATTGACGACAAACTATCTTTCAGCATGTAACTTTCCGTGACAACAATCTCAGTGCTTCCGCAGTCACTGATTGTCGTTTCCTCTTTGGTACAACGACTTTATTTACCCAACGGCTATTTTTTGAGTTGACAGTCTGTCAAGATACGCAGTTATTTTCGCTAAAGATAATCATTACTTTTTACCGTTTCATTCCCTATTTAAACCTTTTCACCTCTTCCCCATACCTTTTTACCTTCCTCCAATCTTCTCTCTCTCTTAACAAAAAAAAAACCCTAGAATCCTAAACTTCTTCAATGGCGGCATCACTGTTCACCTTCTCCTCCACTTCAAGAAGAGTCATCCCAGCTCCAAACTCTCCTCCTCTTCCCATATACATCAAAGCCACCAACGTAGTTTTCAACCTTGATATTCCAGATGTTCATCGAGGTCTTGAACTTGATGATTTTGTCAATTTCTTAGTCTCCTTCCGACTCTGATACGCAATCAGTGACGTTCCATTAGAGTTCTTTCCCGAACAAGTATGTGAGTTCTACTACACTGCAACAATTAATGATGAAAACAACCTCATCTCCGGGACTATTGGCCGTGGAAGACACTCAGTCTTTATTACCGCTGACCTCCTCAGTGCTGCGCTCAGGTTACCAATCTTTGAACCCTTCTCCGAGCTTCCACCTATTGAACGCTGTCGACGTCTCTTTGATCAACTTGGATATGATCACTCAAAGGCTGGTACTCGATCAACTCTCATTCTGCGTCAGTGTATGACTCCAGGATGGAAGTTATTCACCGGTGCTCTATGCAAATGTGGGTTTCACAAATCTCACAGTGGTGATCAACTAAGCACTTATGAGCAACAAGTCGTCTGTTCCCTTCTTCTCAACAAACGACTGGATTATGGGGCTTTCTTCTTTGATCAACTTGTTCAACTTCTTCGTGCAAATGTACGCGCTGATCATGTCCCCTTTCCACGCTGGATTGCTCTTGTGCTAGATAAATTTTTCGCTGAAGCTTACTACTCCCACTCTAGAAACCCCATCCAATGCCCACGCATGTCAGTGCGAATGTATCAGGATGATCCGTTGGACACTGACATCGGCATCTCAGATCGGATGAGAGAATGGATCGCAAATCCATATACTGTTGCTTCACTAACCGCTGATACTGATGAAGAAGCTGATGGTAACAACGAAGATCATGCTGATCAAGAAGCTGAATCACAGGATGGTGGTCATCTCTCCCCTCAACTTTCTCATCATACTCTCTCTGTCACTGAGAGAGTTCACTCAGCTCCCGGGGAGCCACTAATTCAGGGGGAGCAACCATCCCAGGGGAGCCACCATCTCAGGGGGAGCAACCATCCCAGGGGGAGAACCCATCCATGGGGGAGCAACCTTCTCCGGGGGAGCAACCTCACTCAGAAGAAGTTCCAGGTACTTCATTCCTTCATATACCGGCCTCAGCATTTAATGAGCTTCTAACACTGACTCGGGACATGAGTCAGCGTCTTCTACGAATTGAGGCTGACGTCCATCAGCTGAAGGGAGTTCTCTTGCCGACTCCTTCCCCTGGCCCACAAAATGATGATGATCAAAAAGGGGGAGACACTGATGATGATCAAAAAGAGGGAGACACTGAATCTATTGAGCTTGGATCCGCGGACAACACTTTAGTACAGACTGAGCCACCACGGCCTGTGCACAAGTCTGATAGACCAGCTGCTGACGAGTCAGATAGACCAGCAGATACTGAACAGCTTGCTGAAGATAGTGAGCATGATGATGAACATGATGATGAGTGTCAGATGCTGGACATGAACTTCATTGATCCCACTATTCCAGCTTAAGGAGAATCCTCAGAGGATAATGAAGATGAACATGATGATGAATGTCAAATGCTAGATATGAATTTCATTGATCCCATTATGCCAGTCCAAGGAGAAGATTCAGATGTAGCTAGTGAGGATACTCAACCTCTATCTCGCAAGCGCAAGGCAGCAGATACTGAATTGGCTTCTTCACACATTGATACTTCTCTGCCTAGCAAGAAACCTAAGTCCATTGTCAGCATATCCAACTTGGCAGTTGAATGGAACATGTCTCCTGATCAAGTTAAGCAAATTCTTGATGAAGCCAATCAAGCTCAGCTTCTAAAGAATATTGCTCAAGCTGATGAATCTCTCATTCAGCATCAACTTCAGGCCAAAGGATCCTTTGAAGCTCAGATGCAGAAGTTATTAGAATATTAGTCCAAATCCAAATCTCCCCAGCCTCCTCCTAGTAACAGCAAGTCAAGGACTGAAAATTTTCTAGACAGGATTGATCGAAAGAGGTTTCAAGATGTTCTTAAACGATGAGTGAGCAGTGATAAAATCATCAAAGTTAAAGCTTCTAAACCTCGTAATGAGAAAATTCTTACATTGTTGTTCACTCGTCAAGGTCCTCAACATCCATACACTGAAGTTGTCAAGAGGGATGAGCTTATCAGATACGGATATTCTGAATGGATGGAATTGCTCGAATTAGCATCCAAGCAAACTTCAGCTCTCTCTTCAGAACTGACATGTGCTCTCCATCTACTGATCAAGAAAGTTCAGTGTTTGGATCTTGTTCCTATACAGCACTCTCAGCAACAAGGCCAAAGTTCCTCAGTTCCTAGAATCCGAAGAACCAGATTTCAAGTTGATGGTGAAGATGTGTTGGTTCTAAATTTTGGTGCTGAAGGAATAAACAACTCTCTTCCTATTGATGTTGAGCCGGTTCAACATAAGTTCATCTCTGTGCCTGAACATGGAATGTTTTATCTCGATAAAAACAGAAGAATGTGCTTTCAGCGCACCACATAAATTCCAAGAGCTCCAACAGCACATCTTGTTGGCTTAAGACAAATGTGCATGAGTCATCAAGATCTATCTGGAGAGTTTCACATACTGATTGCTATGGAGCTGCTGAATAGAAGACAGGAGCTGCTGGATAGTCCTTACTGGCCTGTGAAAATAGAAGCTGAAGCTGAGTATGAAATTTTTTTGTCCAGAGGTGTTCTCGTATAGCTGTTGTTTTGAACATCATCATATTGGGTGAGATTGTAAGGTCGAACCTTATAATATGATGATGTTTGAAACTGATCCATCAGCATCAGCGTCAGCATCAGCATCAGCGTCAACATAAAAGTTGTTCAGTATATATATTGTCTTATATGTAACAGATTTAGTATTTATCTTGTTTCCATAGTTATCATATATTAGTTAGCCGGAACATCCCTGATTTGTAGGGATTGTCTATAATAGTTCTATATAATCTTTTGTACGGGTTTGTGAAGGGGTTGTCTTTCACAAACCCTAATAGCCGCTTTGTGCGAACAATAATCTCTTTCTGAGATTATCATTCTTAGTGAAAGCTCTTTGTGATACTTCGTTGTTCTGTTCTTGTTATTAGTCATTGTTTGATAAATCGATTGATCTAAGGTTCTTCAACCACCACTACCACCCATCATCAATACCCACCTCCACCATTGTAACATTTGGTTTTGAAGCACATCCATTTTTTATCATTATATTGAGATGTATTGGATTTTGGTCCCTAAGTTATGAAAGAATGGAAAAGGGGGCCTTACTGGAATTCTGGTAAAAGTTAAGAAGGGGCGAGTACGTCGTGCGTACATGTGTGTATGCTAAGCGTACTAAGGCACGCCTTAGTATGATCGGCGTACACTTCGTACACGGGGCGTATGTAGGAAGCATGCAAACCCTAGTTCTAGGACTTTGGCTCATATTTAAGCATCTTTGTGGACATAAACGCTATTATTATCCAGCCTCTTTCGAAGATTTTGATCCTCAAGCAAACCTAGAGAAAAAAGGAAGCCATTTTGTGAGCCTTAAGAGAGTTTAGTCTGGTTTTGAAGAAAGAATAAGTTGGTGTGAAGACCTTGGAGTGGAGTGCATTGTAGATCTGGGATTTCTAGTTTGTTTGCAACATCAAAAAGGTATAAAGCTTGCATCTTTTCCACTCCATCTTGTAAATCTAGGTTTTTGCTCTTTAAAGTCTTTTTATGGTCCCAAAATGTTGATTCTTAAACAAAGCATGTTCTTGACCCATTGAGCTGTCCTTTCAGACCATTGGAAGGGTCTTGAGTCATAAAAATGGAATTCAAGTGGTTGGCTATGCTCCATTCATCATTTAGAAGGTCTTAATGGGTTAAGAAGTGGATTTAAGCTCTTAATGGCCATGAAAAGTCATAAAGTTGGAAACTTTATGACTATTGAGGGTATTTTAGCAATGGATATGAGAAATGGTCGTGAGTGCTTAATCTATTAAGCACTTATTAGTTTTTTGGTCTTTTTGGAGTTCGCCCTGCGTACGAGGTCAACCACCCCGATGGTGGTCAGCGTGAGAGGTTGTGTGTGCACCCATCATACCTTCAGGGTACGCCCCGCGTGCGTACCCTGAGTTGATTCGGCCGAGCTAACTCGGTTGGGTTGACTCAATTGACTTATGGAATTTGATCAAGTTTGACCAAGTTTAACCTAAGGGTATTTTGGGTAATTCTGGATTTTGATTGTGATTAGTCACTTGGAGGGATAGGTTTCAGTTGGAGCTAAGATTCAGAATCGAGACCTTATCAGCTATTGATAAGATTAAGAGGTGAGTTTTCCTCACTATACTTATGGGTCGAAGGCACCAAGGCCGGCCCATTGGATTAGATATCCTGTTATGCGATAATATGTTATTGTTCTGTAGTGATCTGTTAGATCGGTATCTTAGCATATAGGATGATGCTTTGCTTAGTGATCTGTAGATCTGCCTGATTATTTGTTGATTGGTTATATGTTGGTTGGTGGTTAAAGTTTTACTGCTATCTGCATGAGCCAACAGACCGGGGGCATTCCAACCCGATGGTTGATTGGGCTCGAGGGTATTCCAACCCGATGGTTGATTGGACCCTACATGTTTGGTATTCGAACCCGATGGTTGATTGGACCAACATGCTTATGACACAAGGGTATTCCATCCCGTGGATGATTGGACCCGTTGTATATTGGCATTCTAACCCGATGGTTGATTGGGCATGTGGTATTCCAACCCAATGGTTGGTTGGACTCAACATGATTGTATGGTATATGGTGAGACTGGACTGCTTTGTGCATTAGTCAATAGGCCTGGGGTATTCCAACCCGATGGTTGATTGGATCTGACATGTTTGGTATTCCTACTCAATGGTTAATTTGACCAACATGCTTATGATACGAGGGTATTTCATCCCGAGGATGATTGAGCCCATCGTAGACATGCCTGGTATTCCAGCCTGAGGCTGATTGGGCCATGCATGAGCATTTGAGCATGCTTGTTTGTATATCTTATCTGTTTGTGTGGCGGTATTTTGGGGGAACTCACTAAGCTTCGTGTTTGTAGTTTTGGTTTATGGTTTCAGGTTCTTCAATGGACCGTGGCAAGACGAAGACGTGACCGTACACATCCTTGGTTTTACAACTAATTGGATCTTGGGAGACTCTGATTTTAAATAATGTTTTGGAAATAATAGTTGGTAAACACTTTTATTAATAAATGGGTCGCTTTTGGAAGGTTTAAATTTTTTTGAAAATTTTGGGATATTACAACCACCCATCACCACTACCCCCACAACCACCCATCACGATTACCAAAACCCGCCACCACTACCCACCACCACCACCTTAGCTATCACCTACCAAAACCACCCCACCACCCGACCACCACCATCCCCACCACCACCCACCAACGTCATCATACCTAGCACCATCACTACTAAAACCACCACACGTCACCACCCACCAGTATCATCACCACCTACCACCATCACCACTAAAACCACCACCCACCATCACTAAACAACACCACACGCCACCACCATCAATCACCAACACCTGTTATCACCCACCCAACTATCAACCCCACCACCCTTCACCACCACCACCTATAACAACCCAAAACCACCACAAACCTACTATCACCTATGACCCCATTACCCATCACCCATCACCACCACCCATAAACACCACCACCACCACCCACCACACACCATAATGGATCTCCACCACACGACTACTATTAACTACCTACAACCACTAACATTGTATGTGATTAAATACATATAATGACATAAATCATTTGTTATTATATGTATTGTTTATATGATCTAATCACATTAATCACATGTGATTATATGTATCTTAACATATATGATTTATATAAACATTATTCATTTTCATGTTTTCCATTCAATAATTTTTTTTAATGTATTTAATCATATCTGATTATATGTATTTAATATCATATGCTTAATGTGAACAAAGATTTGCTTTCACATTTTTGATTCAATGGTTATTCTCTTGTATATAATAATATATGATTATATGTATCTAATCACATATGATTTATATAGACAAGATTCACAGAAAATTGAATATTTTCGGAAAAATTATTGAATCGATTACGGAAAATTGAATATTTTTCATATAAATCATATGTTATTAAATACATATAATCACATGTGATTATATGTATTTAAATACACAAGAACAATTATTGAATCACATATAATTTATGTGGACAAGCTTTATTATTGCGTTCTCGATTCAATAATTGTTTTTTGTTAACTTTAATCATATTTGATTAAATATATCTAATCACTTGTGATTATATGTATCTAAACACATATAATCAACAACAGTGGTTCCGACACATCACGATGGTTTTGACAACATTATGGTGCTTTCAACGGCGACTCATGGTGGTCTGTACATATCTTCAAGCTGTGTGTGTGTGAGTGAGAGAGAGAGATTATAAGGATATAATTTTTTTTAGTAAAAAC